CTGTGGATGAAGAGTGGTCTTGGGCCGAGAAGAACATTCCTAAATTGCACGAATGGATGGAAAAGAACTACCCATCATCCAACTATCGTTTGCCGAAACTGTTTTCCCCCATAAAATACAACGTCTTCCTATCCCCGTATTTCGAAGAAAGGAATTTCACTTTCTTCGGAAAGGTCGAAATCGAAATGAAACGTCTGCAACTCACATCACGGATCGTCGTTAACAGTAAGAATCTTAACGTGAAGGAAGTAAAGGTGTACGTTAGTAAAGGGAACTTAGCTAAAGGCGAGCAATTGGAATTGAGTGCTTTTTACTTGAACAAGGAGACTGAAATGCTTACAATATTCATGAAGAAGTTTATAAAGGAAACAAATATTATTGTTGAAATCGATTACACGGGTCAGCTCAACGATGATATGGAAGGTTTCTACCGAAGTCATTATCGTGATAGTCAAGGAAACATACAGTAAGTAAAACAATAATTTTAACGTTTGTCGTACAGACATTGGCGAATATTTTTAGGTTCCAGAACTCTGTCCAACAGAATTTCCAGAACTACCAAACATTTATTGAGATTGATGTACGATGCTTATAAAAATTTTACCAAAACATTTTTCGTTAAATCAATATTTGAAATCGCACACAACATTTTCGTAAAACAATTTCATTTGGTTGATACCAACGACATAAGCATTACTTACTGCAAATGTCAATTTCATTCATTAAAGATGCGAAATATTAATCGAAATCGAACCTCAATTCATTGCTAACGAGAAACCCTATGAATTGTTCCCAGTACTTAGTATGAAACAATCGGATAGGTACAGTATTTGATGCATTCAATTGATTTTTCTCCAGTTGGTTGGCAACGACACAATTCCAAGCCACTTACGCTAGAAACGCGTTCCCTTGCTTCGATGAGCCAGCATTCAAAGCATCTTTCATAATTAACATCGAAAAGCCTGACACCTATACTGCGCTAAGTAACATGCCCAGCGCGAAATCATGGGAATCCAAGTAAGTGTATTATTCCTAAAAATTAATTTTATTTCCACTGATGTTCAAATACAGTGGAATTTCGATTATCCAACATCCTTAAGGTTGAAACAACATTGAATAATTTATACTGATTATACGATGAAGAATAAGATAATAGTTTTTACCATTTACAAATAATGGGTTATAAGTAAGAAGCCAAATTATACGTGAGACTTATAAATTCTGCAGCAGAAGACACCTACAGATTGTTGTTTTCTTATTCAGTTAATTAAATTACTTATATGAGACTTGTCGGTTAATTAAAGGGTTAATAATGACCACGGATAGTATAATAATGCAGGTTGTTAACGCATTAAATGCTGACTGAACAGTTTAATAACACATTAATGATCGCGCCTGTGTACATAGTGTTACAGGTCGTGTGTGGGAAACATTTACAGAAACACCGAAAATGTCGTCGTACGTGGTCGCATTTGTTGTATTCGATTTCAAACCCGTGAGAGATGCAGGCACGAAAGTTAATGTATGGAGTAGGCCCGATATGGCACTAAATGGCGACTACGCACAAATTGCGGCGCAACGAATGCTGGAGTTTTTGGAGGAGAAAACAAATCAATCTTATGTTCTACCAAAATTGGATTTGGTAGCGGTTCCAGACTTTTCGATGGGTGCAATGGAAAACTGGGGTCTCGCGACATTTAGGTGAGTGCTGGATTTTTCTGAAAATACTTACAAATATTGACATATGAATCCTTTGCACTTGACATGTGATTCTGAGTCGCCATTTGATTAAACACTGCAAAATTGCAGAATTAAAAATTCAGTATCAAATGTTTAATAAGACACTAACGTAGGATCTAATTTATGCATATAGTATTAGCAATAGTTGGTCAGAAAATAATATTTCTCAATATTTTTCTCGAATGAGGCGGGTTAATCCTCGCACAATGGATGGACACTTTACATGTAATAAAATTTTAGTCGCACACAGGTTTTCTAAGGAAGATACTCTATATTAAATATTATAAACATCTTCGATTGGATGTATTACAATTACGTGCGCATATAGTCGCACTAAATTACTGCCTAAAACTAACTCAATCTTAACGAAAATTTAGTCAGATTGAAATTTGCATTGGCAAACTTATTTGAAAAATTAATTTTAAATCACAAATTTAAAAAATGGAGTTCCGAGTATATTTTTATGAATATCTTGAAAATTAAAGACAAGAAAATATTAAATGTATGGGAAAAAGATATTGCGAATTTTGTATTCTACAACATATACATGACAGCCGTTAAAATCGATGATGCGCGGCCTTTCCTATATAATTACCGTTTTTGTTTAATAATAAAATGATATGGGTTTAACGAAATTTCAAATAAAATAATTGTCTTCGTAGAGAGTATGGTATTCACTACAACCAAGTCGCGACTACAGCAAAATTCGTTGACTATATCACAACCATAATAGCCCATGAACTAACCCACATGTGGTTCGGAAATTTGGTGACCTGCGAATGGTGGGAGAATCTCTGGCTCAACGAAGGTTTCGCTGAATACTTACAGTGGACTGTTTCTCACAGTGTGAGTTGTTATTCAATTAAATACTTTCCATTCCTACTAATATGGACCTGCAACTAACACTTTGGAGGAATATATTTAGTGTAACAGTAGATTTGTGAAATCTTTTGGTGAAACTCTAAGGTA